TCCGTGTGTATATATATATATGTATATGTATACTGTATATGTATATGTATATGTATATGTACATGTAGCTGTATATGTATATTGTATATGTATATGTATATGTGTATGTATGTGTATATGTAAATGTATGTGTGCGTGTATGTGTATGTATATGTATATGTATATGTATGTATACGTCTATATACAACACACACACACACACAAACGCAGGCGCACATAAATAGTGAGTGTAAACACCTGCGACACCACTGTCCGTGGTACATACACCTGGACACCTGGGAGAGGCACAGGTTGTGCGGCAAACTTTCCACGTGGTTCCAGTGCCCTGATCCCCCCTGGCATTGGCACTGAGATGTTTGGGGCGGCGGGGGTTGCGGGAGATATGTTCAAAGATCGGCGCAGCAGGTACCAACTCCACCACTAGTTGACTGAAGTCGTGAACAGCTGAAATCATCCTGCGTCGTGAATTCAACCCATAAACAGAACAAAAAAAAAAAACAATACCATAAAACTCCTAATGAGCCAGATGCGAACCCCAAGACCTGACAAGCTGCTCACAGGAACCATCAGCTCCAAAGCGCCAGCCGTGAAAAGGACACTGCCTTGATGGTACCAAGCGAGTTTATTCAAGCTGCTGCTGCTGAACCCTAAACCCTAAAACTCTAAAACCCTAAAACCCTAAAACCCTAAACCCTAAACCCTAGAACCCTAGAACCCTAGAACCCTGTTGCTCACCCTGCACCTGCTCCTACCCTACCACTACCCCTGCCCCTGCTCCTTCTCCTACTCCAACTCCTACACCTACACCTACTCCTGCCCCTGCTCCATTTGTGCTGCTCCTCCTACTTGTGCTCCAAAATCGAACTCCTACTGTTTTTTGTGAAAATGCTGGAAACTTGGGATATTATACACTTTTAAACCGCAGGACGTTCTTGGGCATAGGCTTAGGGTTCATGCTCTGGGATCTGTGGATGGAGGCGTTATGGCCTGGCGTGAGTCAATGGGTTTTTATATTTTACGGCTTATCATGTTGTCGTGTTTGTTGCCGGAGAGATTCTCCCAAGATGTTGGAGGAAGGCTTCCGAAAACGAAAATGCGTTCCTCGTTCAGTCTGCCTGCCTTGCTGACCCCCCTCTCCCCTGCTTCGGTCGTCCACGTATGTGCCACGCATCTGGTCGCATTGTCATGTGGGTAATGCAGCGAGTCAGCTTAAATCACACCACGCAAGATCGCTGCCGAGTTACAAGGAATTTCCCACCACCACGCCGCCCATCCCCAGGTGGGCACCTGACACTGCACGGGCACAATCCCAAACAATTTCGGTTAGTGCCGGTTAGTGTTTAGGGTTTAGGTCTTCGGATTGATTTCGGTCCGAGGCTACGCGTGAGTGATGAGCAAAATCAATGTCGAAGCAGCCAGGAATTGAGAGTGCAAAGCTTGAAAAAGCCTCCTGCGCAAACCGGTAAAGCTGGCCGAACACCCAAAGGCATCATGTGGTCGTCTGACCACACCGCATGTAAACTGCCTAGATCTATGCTGCAGTGTTTCAAAGACGGGTTTCGTTCTGCTCCGCACAAGGAAACCGTCCTACTGCTACTCCGTGTTTGTATAGGCTCTTCTGGGATTGGGATTGGGCTTACTATTTGGCATTTAGCAGGTTTAGCGTGCTCTGAGGAATATACGTAATCACACAAGTCCGATCGTGTACCGCAGCAACTGCTAGGATGTGTAAAATCCTAAACCCTTCAACAATCCTAAACCCTTAACAACGCCCCGAGCTCTAGAACCCTAAGCCCTGTACCCAGAGTTCCTGAGGCCCGTCGAACAGCAACCAAAATCGTAAATCCACAAAACACAGGGATTTGGGGCTGAAGCCCACCCCCACTACATTGAACCGAAACCCCCAAGTCCGAGGGAAGCGCCCATGTGCGGGCAGAAGGCGTGAAGGACGGCAGCCTTACCGTCCTGGGACGGAAGAGGCACAGCTTCCAGGTGCCGGGTCCGGTCGAAGAGGATAGCGGATAGGACTGGGGGCAGAATACGGAGTTTAGAACGTCGGTCAAGAGTCTGGGAGTTCTGGAATGTTTCGTTTCGAGTTGCGTTTTTATGCTTCACAGCGGGGCTGAGAACGCCAGCGACTTGGGTGTCATGTTGGAGGTTGGAGGTACCGCGCTGCGGTGCCGCTGCTGCTACTCCCACTCCTACTGCCACTGCTATTGCTACGGTGACGACGACGTCAGCTACGACGTTGCGAAGACAACGACATGGAAGGCGACTCATCTTGCTACTGAAGCCGCCTACCAACTCCATCACCAAGATAACGATGTCTCCGACTCCGACCACGACTGCTACTACTGCAGAGAGTACCACCAATTGCCAACGCTACCACTGCCACAACTACTTCATGCCCACTTGTCCTGTCCACGGAAAGCAACCATGTAGGTGCCCAGAGCACTGATTGACTTCACCCGTCCTCGGTGCTCTCGTTGCAGAGCTTCGGGATATCACAATCTTTGGCCCTAGGCTCATACATCAAACTGCGAGAAGGAAGTTGTATAGTTGTCTAACCAGAAGCTTCTTGGATTCCTAGCAATACAGTACCCGGCAACACCCTTGCAAAACTGTCGTTGATGGTCAAGGGTCGATATTTCGGTGTGTAAAACGTGGCTTGAGTACAACATATAGCTTGAAAGCGTAAACGTTCGCTTGCGGGTCCACTTGATGGAGATCCGCGGCGGTTGTCAGCATGGACAAGCCGACACTGCCACTGATCAGATACTCGATCGGGGCATGGGAAACCTTTACTGAAACCATTCAAAACACATATAAAACCCTTTCAAACCCTTTCATATCCACTTCAAGCCCGTGCAGCACTCCATCAACAACCTTTGTAGAGCCATCGAATCAACAGCCCTTCTTGAACACCTCTAGAATCTCTTCGAAACCCTCCAATTGCTCTTGTGTAATGCTTTCATCACTCGAGGCCTGAACCCCAAGCCTTGAGGCTTTCGGGTTCTGGGTTTTAGGGTTTAGGTTGGGGTTGCAGAATTAGGGTTCAGGTTTAAGCTAGTGGCCAGGAACCGTTTTCGATGTCCTTGGCATTGCAGACGCAGTGCCAGCCGTTGGGGAAGCCCGGAGGAAAGTGCTGTGCACGCAAGGCCTGCTTGGGTTTTGCGAAGCCTACAATAAGGGTTTCTGTTGCGACATCTACCGCAACCTACCAACCTACCTGTATACAGATATAGCATGACCTTGAGGGTATGCCCTGGCTGGAGGTTCACGGCCAACCGCTTATGAGGATTCTGGTCCAAATGCCTGGTAAACTTATCCAACAACATATTTCCAAACCCTACCATGGTTTGATTTCTTAGGGGCTCTACATGAAAAATCGTGCCAAGAAACTCCGTCCACACCGTGGCTCCGATCCGGGAGCACTAAACTCCAAACCCAAAGCTTCCCTAAACCCTCAGCCAGAACAGGGTATAGGATCTGAAGAGCCTGGGCTAAACCCAAACAGTGTTTCGGGGGCGAATACAGCAACATCTTCCATAGCCTTTCTGAGAGACATCAAACGGCTAACTCATATGGTGAAGGAGTCATGTGTACAGCTCTTGGGACCTGCCTGCAAATCTTAGCTTAATATAGAAGCCGAAATATTTACC